ATCATAAGTTATAAAATTAAAACTTATTCATATCACATTTTATCTTGTTTACAAACATTAACAAAATAATCTTACATATTAGTAGATAAGAATATAATAAATTATTTATCTAGGAGTTATTATAGTTATTACAATAAAAGTTTATTATCTGAAACTATAATGATAGTATTGATTTCAAGATTGGTTAGTTATCTGATATTTGCATTTCTTTCTGTGTAGCTAATATCTTATTTTATTATATTTAAAATACTTAATATTTAAGATGCTATTATTATTATTATTATTATTATTATTTCTTGACAGTTTATAATCATAAGTTATATGATCATTTTTATCACAATTATAACAGATCTTGTTTTAATTGAAATAATTATTGAAATTTTGATTATTCTGAATTGACAGTTTTTTCATCTGTTTTATAAGATCAGCTATAATTTTACTTATAATATTTACTAAATTTGGGACAGAAAAGAGAATGCCAAGATTTTGTAATAAAAGAGATATAAAATTAATAGAGTTCTGATAGATTTATCTATAGCTAGACTTAGTATTGATCACTTCTGTGATTGTTATATTCAAAATATCTAGATTAAATTTATTTATATAAAAGATAACTTTTAATTTTAAATCTTTCACAAATTGCTCAATATAGTAAGTTATTAGATATATATTTATTGAATTAATTTTGTGAAGTATTATATAAATATCTTTTGCATATAAAGTTATATCTTCATTTATTTCTTATATTCTTAATCTTAACTATTATTGTTATATCAAGATTTAAATATTAGTTCTAAATTAGATAATAAAAGTTTAATAAAATAAAGTATTATTATTATTATTTTTCTAGCTTGTAGACCAGTCAGCATTTATAAATTTTCTTTACTAAAACTTCTCTTAAGTATATAGATACTATCTTAATTTTTCTTGCATTTATTATATTATTTGTATTTGCTAAGTACTCAAACTTTTTAATTCAGTTCATAGAATCTTTATGTACTCTACTATTATAAAAGAAAAAGAATACTGTTAATAATTCAACTTATCTATTTTGTTAAGCTTGCATTACCAAAATAAGTGAATCAAGTGCTTGAGCTAAAGCTCATATGATCTTTATATCTTCTTGATTTTTTTGAGACTGAAATGAAGATGAATCTAAAATAATAGGATATTAAATTTCTTTATTTAATAACTCTTCTTCTGTTATACTCCTGAGTTGAATTGAAATAGTTCTTCTTCTGTTTAAAAGATTAGTAAAAAATATATTGAAAGTTGAAATTGAAGTGGATGATAATAGAACTAATATGAGAATTCTGACTAAAGTATTAATTAGAGTACAAGATCTTGATTACTAAGTATAATATAATCTCTGTTAATTAAATAAAATAACTTTCTTATATAAATTATAAATAATACCAGTTATTTCAGTTGGGATCTGAATTGAATATTTTTGAAATCAGAGTTATAATCAATATTTGCTTATTAAAATTTCTTCTTTCAATATATTTACTTTAAATAAATTATAAATTAATTAGAATAAATCTTTTTCTTATTATCTAAGTAATCAAGATGAATTAAAAAAATTAATTAATCTCTGATATTGTCTTTTTATTTTGTTATTAGTTGATTTTGTTAAATCCAGTTTGGATTAACTTATTAATTATTAATTTTATTTTAATTTTATCTTTAAAGAAAGAATATCAAAAAGACTATTATTATTTTAAGTTTATGTATATAAAAATATTTTAAAATAATAAGAATAACTATATTCATAGCAATTATTTACTTTTATAGCTTCAAGAGATTATAAAACTAATTATCTTCTCAATAAGATAATATATATGTATTTTATTTTCTAATAAAATATAATTATCTTCTTAATAAAATAATTTACATAATTTTACTTCTAATAAAATATTTTCTCAATAGAGTAAGAAGAAAATAAAGATAAAGTATATGATAAAATATATATGTTTATTAAAGAAAAATACTAATTAATTACTTTTAATCCAGTAGTTAATTATTTTTATCAAACTTAATTATTCTTCTTAATCATTTCTTAATTCTTTATATATAATATTTTCTTGCTATACTAATTATAAATTATTTCTAACATAATATTTTACTTAATTTACTCAAGAATAAGTAGAATTTTAAAAAAATAATCATAAAGAATATTAAATATATAGTAATTAAGAATTAAAATTAACAAAATATTAAATTATTTAAAGCTAAAGTAAGAAATGAAAGAAAATTAATAATAATTAATTAGATAATTATTAATTTAATAAAATTATAAATTAAGTATGATATATATAATTAAATTGATAAAAAAATAAGATTAAATATGGATAATAATATAAACTAAAAATAGAATTTAACAATAAATAAGATTAATTAATATAAATTTCTTGTTTATTTGATTTGATAATAATTAATAATTATTATATCACATATTATGATTGTATCACAACTACTATATCATAATTACTATATTACAAAAATAGATAATTAATTATAATATAAATAAATTTTTTTAGAATCTCTTTAAGTAATGCAAATTTTCTTTAATTTTTTCTATATTTTTAATTATTTTATTATATAAAGTTATAAATTTCAAGACTTTTAATCAATTTTATATCTTATCTATATTTATTTCTTAATAAAATTATAATAATAGCAATTTATTTAATTTTTAAGTATAACTATACTAATCTATGAATAATTAATTTTAATTTGAAAAAATATTTTCTATAATATATATAATCTAAAGAATTATTTATATCCTACTCTTACAAATATTATAATAATGCTTTATATGTATTCAGCTAAATTTATAACTTTATATATTACAAATACTAATATAATAGAATATATAAAAAATAAAGATTAATTAAATATTTCTAAAAAATTTAGATTTATGAAAAAAAATAAAAAATAAGTCAAGAAATTACTAATCTGAATACAAAATACTATATTTTCTGAATTAATAAAATAATTCAGATAAGTTAAAAGTTAAATAATTTAATAAATTCTTAAAAGATTATAATTTAATTTCTAAATATTTACAGAAAATAGGTACTATATATATTATAGTAATATATAAAACAAAGAATTTAGTATATATTATAATAATTACTAGTTAAGTATTTTAATATAATCTTAATAATAATACTTCTTCTATACAAAACTATATTATAGTAAATTATAAAAAAATTGAATAATTTACAAATTAAGCAAGATCATTTTAACTTTATGATGAGAATTAATTATTTTTTATTTTAAGAACTTGCATATATATTTCATTTTCATTAATACTAGAATATTTAGAATCTGATTCAGTTAAGAATAAAGATAAAAAATCACTAAGAATGATCTTTTTTCTAACTATCTTGCATTATTATTTAATAATACTTGGATTTGCTATCATATTTATAATATCTTGTCAAATCTTAGATTTTATTATCTTCAGTAATTAATAAAGAGAAATCCTGATTTTTTATTTAATACTTATCTATAAATACTAAATATTACTCTAATAGTATTCTATTACTTTGTTAAAGACTTGATAACTATTTCAATACTTTCATGTAATTCTTAATACAAGATAGCTTTGGCCATGCCAGCTTTGCTAATATTATCTTTAACAATTACTTCATTTATAACAGACTTGATATTAGTTTTATGTTAATTATTTTATTAATATGAATTTAAAAATACAGAATTAAATATATTATTATAATAAAACATCATAATGATAACTTTATCCTGTAAAATTAATAAAGTATTAGTAATAGTTATACTAGATTCCAGTGCTAATTGTAATATTATAGATGAGAAAGTAGTAAATGAATTAAGTTTAAAAATTGATGATATCTCTAATGTAGAAGTATATACACCCATTGGCAAACTTAATATAGTTGGAGTAATTCGTGAAATTCCTATTTCAATCCTGTCTCAGGGTTCTAAATGAAAATAAGTAAAAGTTATCAATATTTTTGTTGTTAGTATTCCTGAACATGTACTGATGTTAGGAAACTCATGATTTAAAGATAATGTAATGAAGCTGGACTTTCCAAATAAAACTCTTATATTGCTTGATGAAACTAGTTGCGAGATTAAATATAATTGAGAATATCTAGAAAATACATAGTATATATGCCTAAAATTAATTATCCAAACTCAATTATTTTTTCGGTTATAATATATATTATTAAATATACTTAAAATGCTCATTAATACACTCGTAGAAGGAAAAATCCACAACTCGAAAGTGCCTACCAGACTAATAAGAAGAAGCGGACAGCGGATGAGGCATTTGGTAACGAATATTTCGACTACCTCTATGGGATCGTATCTACAGGTATGCGGAAAATTTTACTAGATTATTACTCAGGTGGGACTTTAGGTCTCACTTTTTTTATCATGTGATTATTTGCTAATAATCGCGTTTATTTTTAGCCATGGAGTGGCACTTCATCATATATACATCGGACGGTATTTACTGTACGAGTAGTAGCGAGTATCAGATTACCTTACAAAAACCGCAATCAAAGAAAATCTTGATGTACTTCGAAACAGTGTGAAAAAGGTAATTGGAATTATCGTATCATTGTTGAAGGATCGGATAACCGTTGATAGTTCCCCGGCAAATAAAAGGGCTAGAATCAAAAAGATCGTCAAAAAGTAATGGGTATTTCACCGCCTCACATGTAATTGTCTATACAAAGCTATTTTATTTGTAACAATAAAGAAATTAGACCATTTTCTCAATTACTATTGTAAAGAACATGTTCTAATAAATCAGTGCACGGCAACTCCTGCCTTGAGCGCGACTATTTATTCTTCTTCGATTTCCTACGCTCTTTCTTCGCAAATTTCTTTGCAGGTTTCTTTGCAGATTTCTTCTGAGATTCTTCCCATATCACTCCTGCCGGCTTAGCCATGCGATATTTTTCGTATACACGACGCTTAAATTCCTCTACTGGTATCAGCTCGCCAGTGTCCTCCATTATGGCGCATATCTTCTCTGGATGGTAGATGTAGTTCGTAAGACCTTGCCTCAGATCAATCCCCAAGTATTCTATGTTTTGTGCCATGTCGTCCCATTGGAACATGATCCCACGATCATCAAACATCCAAACGACCATTCCAGAATGGTCTACGAACACCGGGTGGACACCAGTGATACCGAAAATATCACAGAAGTACTCCCTATCTTCTGGGTGCAATAACCTTTCGTCTCTAGTTTCATGGAATCCTCGAGGATCATTCTTCAGTTTCTCAAGCAAATCTTGCAATTCCTGCACGGTGTCTTCACTTTTGCTGTCTGCACTGATATTGTGCGAGATTTGATCGGAAGATCCGGCCTCCATCGAGATAGACGAATCCATGAATTTGTTTCCGCGCAATTCCCGAACTCCCAAGTTTCTATTTTTGGAATAATTATCCCATTCTGATCTCGAGGGAAGAAGCATTGATCGTTCTCTTGTCGGACTGTGATCAAGTGTTCCTTCTGCTCTCTGGTGGGAGCTGTGACTGACGTTCCGAATGTCGCTTTGATGATCTTGCCCTTGTCCAATTTCCATGATACGTTGATTGTGGTTGGGCACATTCTGGATCTGCGAGTGGGCACCAGTATCCTGATCCATAGAGCAATTTGATCGAGTTGGACTTGTTTCTGATACGTCGTATTTTTGGACTGGAAGTTTATCGTGTAGAGATAGAGGAGGGCATCCCATACAGTGGCTATTGTAGTTGTGGTCCCGTACGCCGTTATTATCATCGGTTCCGGCAGTCCATTAGGGTCGGTAGGGAAAAGAAATTGATTGTTCCTCCTGATATGTATCAAAGAGCAAACATCAACATCTATACATAAAAGAAACCAAACCTTTGAGACTTACTTGTATGGTAGAAGGAATTTGTTGTAAATATCTCGTCCTATCTCGTTCTCCATTGCCATCTTTCGGATGGATTTCCAAACCTAAGGTGAATGAAAGGAATTTCTTTTTTTCGTAACAAAACAGCTATTACCTTGAATAGTGTCCATCGCTGATTTAGGCGAGGATAAGGTATGAAGGTTAGAATTGCTCATAATGGTTTTTCCTTTTTGTTGAAAAATCAAATCACACTATCATTAAAAGTGAGTGTGTAATTATCATGAAGAATCTATAGTGTTGTAACACAAATCCCCAAATTATGTAGTCACACCTGAGATAACCCTGTAATAATAACCCATGAGTCCTACGGGGTCGGATTTAGCAAAGTATGGTATGCATCAAAAATTAATCATCAGGTTTGACAAATTGCCTATCAAAAAGTTTCCAAAGTTGTCGACCAACCCGCTAATGCGGTATTACAAAATCACATGTCGCAATACCCACAAGTCTTCGATTTGTGAGGGCTCCGGATTTTCAGACTTTATCCAAGGATCAAATCCAGTTTTTTTCTTATATATTTTATATAACTTGGAACGAAGTTTATCAGATATAGTATCTAAATATTCGGGTGTTAGTAGTACCTTATCAAACTTGGCTTGTGTATCCATGTTGTTATTTATATAATTTCAAAGCATTTTAATTTCTCGCATTGAAATATCACGTACTAAAAAATATTATTTCCTAACCACTCACAAGTTCGTGTCCAGATGTGTGCAGTTGATGAGTTTTTTAATGCGTCTCCGAGTGTACGTTAACTGCAATACTATATACACTCTACCAACAATGAGAGTAATGAATTGGCAGGGTTTATGCAGTAATTTGAATTTCGCGCTGTTCACATTTAATATAGTATGATCCAGTTTCATATTTACCTTCTATGTCTTCCTCATCATCATGGTCTAACTTGCATAAAGGACATATTGTCTCGGCAGTAATTCCGTAATAATCCACATTTTCACTACTGAATTCATAATATAGATCAGGATATTGTTCCAATGCTTTATTGCGGAAAATAGCATGGTCATAGGTCAGATTATTCTGTTTTTCAGATAAGGTCTTTGATTCAGTTTGAGATTTGAACGGCATATTTACTTCTGCTTTTGGTAAATCTTTCTTGGGTCGTGATGCAGATGATACATTTATCTCGGTTTCCGATAAAACCTTTTCGGTATGAGATACGGGGTGATATACTTACCTTAGCTTTTGTCGTAAGCTGACACGGTGATACAGAATCACTTACCTCGATGTGAGATGAGATTTTTCGAGACGGCTCCGTCCCGGAAATTTCAAGCGAAGGAGAATTAGAGATTCGGCTCTCTGAATCATAATTAATAATCTCTTGAATTTGGTCGTTAGTAAGTTCTGAGATTGAATTTGCACTATAGTTCTTAATATGTTTAATTTTGTCTAAACCTATCTTTTCGAATAA